CTGCTGTTCTCCTGCAGGCGATGCCAGCTGCCTGGGAGCCTGAGCATACGGCCGGACAGGCGGGCGTTCCACACACGTCTCACTGACCTGTCAGTCCCCGTGGGCAACCCACACGCCGCTCTGAGGGGGTGCAAGGCTGCCCCCTTCCCCCAAGAGGGAGTGGGCTGCAGGCACAGGTCTGCTCCCCTCGCAGCAGGGCCTCCCAGGAGCATGATGCTGTCTGGCTAGTGCTCCTAGTTTCTCTTGACCGCTGCCCCCCACTCAGCCCGCACCCACACACCGCACTCACCCAGCACCCTGCACCCCACCCGCACCCAGCACCTGCTTCCCGCGGGAACCAAGGCCTGGCTCCCAGGGGCTCCGAGCTCCCCGGCACCCTGCCTGGGGCTGTGCTCCTGGGGACGAGGGGGAGCCCACCTGGGGCAGACCCCTCCCTGCCCTGCAGAGCAGCACCTCCAGGAGCGCGTGGGAGGGAGTGTGCCTGGCGGCGTTCTCACGAGCGGGAAGGAAGAGCCGGACGTGCGGAAAGCTGTTCCCTGGAGGCCTGGCACCGGGAGCACATTGCCTCCGGCTCAGAGGGCGCCTGTGCATGGCTTACCTCACACCGAACCCCAGACGCCCAACGTGAGGCATTGCCACTCCTCTGGCCCCGGAGGGGGCACAGGACAGCCAGAGACGGGCTCCCCAAGTCCAGAGCCCCCCACGTTAGGGCTCCTGAGAGGTGCACCAACCAGCCTGGCCTTCATCCCCTCTGCCCGCACCCCTCTCAGCCCGGCCTGCGGGCACCTGGGAGGCTGTGCTGGGAGGAGGGAGCAGAGGGTGTGGAGCCACTAGAGACCCCAGCCCCGCGCTCAGCGGGGTCACCCAGCGGGAGAGGAGAGGACGGCAGGCCAGGCTGCCTGCTGAGCCTGAGCAGGTGGGTGCCACAGCAGGTGCACACCCCCAGCCAGGAGGCTCTTTCCTGCCGCCCCCTCACTCCCCCCCCAACCCCGGACGAAAGCCAACACAGGTCACGGGACCCAGGGGTTCCTCCTCACCCCTCCCTCGGCGCCCTGCAGGGAGGAGGGTGGTGGCTGGAAGGAGGGGGGCAGGCCTGGGTCGCTAGGCGCCCCCAGCCGATGACCCACGTGGCTGGGACGTGGCCAGGCATCGCACACGGTCTCACCTCCCCGCCCCCTCTGGCGGCAGTATTTCCCCGTGAGGAGTGAGGGCTTTCTTGGCCTGCCCCGGCCCTCGCTCCGGGCTTGGCGGGAGCAGGGGTGTGGGCTGGGGCCTGTCTCTGGCCTGCAGACGGTTAGCGGGTTCCTCTTCCACACGGGGTCCGGCCCTGAGCCCGGGCTGTGCCTCGCTCACTGAGCAGCCCGGGCCTGGGCCGGCCTCGGAGGACGTGGGTGGTGCCTGCGGTCTGCGGCCCAGCCCCTTCCTCCGGGCACGCACTCTGTCTGAGGGCGGACTCCGGACTCCCAGGAGCTTCATGGCTACCCTCAGCTCCCGAGGCCAGGCTCCCCCCAAGCCCGCCACCCCACCGGTGCGAGGGGAGGACGGGCCAGTGTGTGCCACGCTGGGTCCGCTCCGGGCTGGCCGTGGCGGCAGAGCTGGCCCTCCTGGGACGTGGACCCCCTGGAAGCTGAAGCCAGAGCCGAAGACGCCTCCGGGGTGCAGGCCTGGGCTGTGGGAGGCAGAGCCGGCCGGAAGGCCCCTGGGCACTGGGACAGGAAAGCGTTCCGCTCTCTCTAGGCAACGGCTGCTTCCGGTGCCCCTGGAGCTTTGCGGGAGGAGCGGCCCCTGAGACACCCCAGCGCTCAACAGCAGCTCTGCAAACAGGTGCCAGCAGGCCTGCCCCCAGCCGCCCCGGAGGTGAGCCGGCAGGCCAGCCAGGGCTCACAGCTCCCTCTGCCGCAGCCGCAGGCACAGGGGTGGGTCTGTCTGACCCGCCAGGACGGGCAGCCATAGGGTTTGGGATGCGCCAGGCCTGCACCTCCGGCAAAACAACTAACCTGGTTCCACGTTCAAGCCTGGGGCTCCCTCCGTGCCCCCCTCTTCTCCCACAAACTCCGTCCTTCCCCTCCTGCTCCCCGCCGCGGAGACAGTGAGCAGCTCTGGTTAACTGTTCTCTCAGGAAACAGCCTAATAAAGAGGCAGCGAGGGGAGGGGCTGTGCCACCCAGCACCTCACCTGCACGGGGATGACCAAGCACAGAGCACAGCGACCAAGCAGCTCAGGAAACGGGGTGCAGGCCAGATATGACCAGTTACCTGCCCAGACAGGCCCCCCGCAGCCTCCATCGCCATGTGCAGCCTCAGGAACGACCTCTCCACTAGGACAGGAGTGTGGTCAGACAACCGAGGCACAGGGTCTCCCTCTGGGACTGAGTTTGACATGGGGAGAGGGGCTGGAGGGGCAGAGTTCTGCTCCATCCCCCAGCCCCACAGTCTGCACTCCCCCCCAGACTCTACGCCATCCCTATGCCCACAGTCTGCCCCCCAGACTCTACCCCATCCCTATGCCCACAGTCTGCCCCCCAGACTCTACCCCATCCCTATGCCCACAGTCTGCCCCCCAGGCTCTACCCCATCCCTATGCCCACAGTCTGCCCCCCAGGCTCTACCCCATCCCTATGCCCACAGTCTGCCCCCCAGACTCTACCCCATCCCAATGCCCACAGTCTGCCCCCAGACTCTACCCCATCCCTATGCCCAGTCTGCCCCCCAGGCTCTACCCCATCCCTATGCCCACAGTCTGCCCCCCAGACTCTATCCCATCCCTATGCCCCATAGTCTGCCCCCCAGACTCTACCCCATCCCTATGCCCACAGTCTGCCCCCCAGACTCTACCCCATCCTTATGCCCACAGTCTGCCCCCCAGACTCTACCCCATCCCTATGCCCACAGTCTGCCCCCCAGACCCTACCCCATCCCTATGTCCCACAGTCTGCCCCCCAGACTCTACCCCATCCCTATGCCCACAGTCTGCCCCCCAGACCCTACCCCATCCCTATGCCCCATAGTCCTCACCCCACCCAAGAGTCCAGGCCCCAGAGCTGCTTCTTTTTTTTTTATCCTCACCCGAGGATATTTTTCCATTGATTTTTAGAAAGAGTGGAAGAGAGGGGGAAAGAGAAACATCAAGGTGAGAGAGACACAGTGATTGGTTGCCTCCTGCACTCGCTCTGACCATGACCCAGGCCAGGGAAGAGCCTGCAATCGAGGCACATGCCCTTGACCAGAATCGAACCCACGACCCTTCGGTCCCCAGGCCAATGCTCTATCCACTGAGCCACACCAGCCAGGACCTGAGCTTCTCATTCCTTAACTCATCAGCACACCCTGCTGACTTCCCCTCACAGGCTTTGATTAACGGGGAGGCAAGTGACTATGATGGGGCGGAGAGACCTGCTCCGTCCCCTTGACCTTGGCCATGCGAGGGGGGAGGCCCTTTGGCCCCTGTGGTTTCCTGGTCCTAAGGGAACCACATCTTCCCTCGGGCTGAGAGCAAGGACGGCACCTGTGCCCAGAGCTCGGGGCGCTGGCTGGGCCGAGCAGGTGGGCCAGCTCTGGAGCCTGCTGGCCACCACCTTCACATCACTGCTTTCTCCTGGGCCCCTCTGCCGCTCCTGTGGGCCTGCCCTGTCCCCCCGCGCCCAGCCTCAGGAGGCAGGCTGCCACCTGGAGAGGAGTGCCGGGCCCAGTCTCTCTCACAGGCGCACACATGCACACGCACACATGTGTGCACACACACTGACACACACTCAGTGTGCGGTGGGGTCCCACAGAAAACAGGGTCTGTGAGCACTGGAGCAGCCCAGGACCCAGCAGCAGGAGTGGACAAGGAACCCCTGACCCTCTGCCATGGTCACAGCGGGAGCCTGAGGGAGGGGAGGGAGGGAGGGAGGGGAGGGGAAGGAGGGGAGGGGAGGGGAGGGGAGGGGAGGGAAGGGAGGGAAGGGAGGGAAGGGAGGGAAGGGAAGGGAGTGACGCTGTGCGGGGGGGGGGGGGGGGGGCGGCGGGAGACCTCGGCCTCACTAGGTCTGTCTCATGGGGGTCGCCGTGAGCCCAGCATACAGCGGTGCCCGAGGTGCCAGGGGATGCCCGGCGCTGACCCACCGTGCGGGGTGTCACTGACTCTGGCTCCTGAGTAACTCTGCCCGCTCCACAGGGAGCCCACGGGCAGCAACATCTGCAGAAGCCCTGCACTGCCCAAGGCTTCCACCTTCCGCCCTCAGCACAACTGCCTCCGTCATGTGCCCAAGCCACAGGGCAGCTGCCAGCTCTGACCTGCACACACGGAGGGTGCAGTGCCAGGCCCGAGTCCGCTTACAGGAAACCACTGGCTCATGAACTCGGCTCTGGACAAATAAAGACCCTTCCCTCGTCTCCTGCCTGGCCCTCCGCACCCCTGTGCTTGTCACAGATGCCAGCACTCCCTCCGCTGTGCCTCTGCCTGGCCGGTCCTCCGGAGTGCAGGGCAGGACAGCGCCCAGCCTCTCCTTGGAACCCCTTCCCACAGGGGCTCGATGGGCCCTCCGAGTCCCTGCAACCCGTCCAGACCGGCAGGGAAGCGGGGTGGGGAGGGGGGCCCCTGGGGAGGTGGAGGGCAGAGGAGCCAAGTGGGAAAAGGGGGAGGGGAGGCCCCCATGGCGAAGTCTGAGGCCTGAGTGACAAGCTTTCAAGTTGCACACACAGCGCCGGGCAAGGGCAGCACCGCCACCCCAACCACAGCACGTGCAGCCGCCCGGCATTCCTGCACCGGCGCCCCTGCACACCCAGACCTGAGCCGGAGCCGCACTGCAGCCCCAGATTCAGGGCCAAAGAAGACGCCGAAGACCGCAGAGAACTAACTCACCGCGAGGCGGCCGGGCGGGGCGGGTGCGGGCCGGGGCGCCCGCAGGACGGGAGCCCCGCGCCTCTGCCGCACGCCCCGTCCCGGCTCCGCTTTCCAGTGTCCCCCTGCGGGATGCGGGAAAGGGGGCGGGGGGCTGGGGACCAGCCGGGGCGCCTTACCCAAGATCCCAGCGCCCGGCCATCTGGCCCCGGGCATGGCGCTGGTCTCCGCGGGGCGCGGGGACGGACCCGGGGCAGCGAGCGCGCGGTCTGCAGGCCCGGCCGCCGGAGGGAGCGGCCCGCGGCGCCGGGAAAGTTAGCGGGAGGCGGAGGAGGAGCCGGCTGCGGAGAGGCCGCGGGCGAGGGGAGGAGGTGCGCGGGGGGAGGAGGAGCGGGAGGACCGCGCGCTGAGCCGGCCCTGGACGCCCTCCAGCCGCAGAGGAGGCGCTCGGAGCCCGCCCGCCGGCCGCCGCGCACCTGCCCGCGCCCCCGCGGCCCCGGTCCGTCCCGGCCTGCGGTGCGGCGGGCACTCGCCGCGTCCTCCCCAGGCTGAGCTGCCCGCTAGCAGGAGAGTTTGGGGAGCAGCACGGAGCTTGGCGGAGTTGGGCGGCGGAGGGTGGCGCCAGGGGACGCGGAGGGGCAGCGGCTTCCCGGGCTGCCAGGGCCGCTGGGTGCCCGCAGCTGGCACCCCGCAGGGTGGGCGTGTGCCGGCGTGCCCCGGCCCCAGGGGAGCCGCGTGCCGGGCTCCGGGAGCAGAGCCTCCACTGCGCACTGACTCCCCACCCCACTCCCCGGTCTGCGCGGAGTCCGCGGAAATGGAAATGTCCGGTCCCCGCCCGGTTCCACCCCCACCCCTGCCGCCTCCCCCTGCCAGACACCCCTCCCTCCTTTTCCCTCTGGGAGCCTCCCTCAGCCTCCCCCCTCCCACCCCTCCAGGCTTCCCCCTCCTTCAGAACCAGGAAGGCTCCCGCCTCTCCTTTGGACTCCGGGGCTGGGGGTGCCCAGGTCAGAGGGCGGGGTGAGACCCGCAGGCCTTCTCCAGGCGGTGTGAGTGGCTGATGTCTGAGCGCCTTCTCCCTCCAGGCAGAGCCTGGGGCCTCCCCCTCTCCCTTCTTCCACGTCTGGAAGCTGGTTCAGACTGGGGACCAGCTCCCACTTCAGGGTCCGACCCCGCTACAGACCACCGCGGGCACTCATCACCACCGCCTTCTCAGCGCTGTCTCCTGGGCCTCAGGGGACCCCTGAGGCTGCATGGGAAATGCTGGGTGTGTATTTGTGTGTGTGTTGTTTTCTGGTTTTTAATATTTTTATTGATTTCAGAAAGGAAGGGAGAGGGAGAGGGAGTTAGAAACACCAATGATGAGAGAGAATCATGGATCGGTTGCCTCCTGCACACCCCACACTGGGGATCCAGCCTGCAACCCAGGCCTGTGCCCTACGGGGAATCAACTGTGACCTCGTGGTTCAGAGGTCGAGGCTCAATCCCGGAGCCGCACCAGCCGGGCTGAGTGTGCATTTGTTTCTGAGATGCTGTCTCTGGTGGGGCTGCCCCCAGAGAGTAGCTCTGGAGCCAGGCACCTGGGACTCCAATCCCAGCTCCGGCATTGAGCTGTGACCTTGAGCAAGTTATGCAACTTCTGCAGAAGCCTCGTCTGTAAATGGTGAAGAGAAAGACGGTTACCTCCTGGATTGTTAAGAGCAATGGCACCCTCAGATCTGGGCAACAGGGGCCCTCCACCCAGGGCTCCTGGGTTTAGGCGGCCATACTCTGCCCCTGGAAAAGGGGTTTCTGGGACAGGAAGGGGTGGTCCATGCACCTCCTTTCTAGACCATACGGTATCCTCTCGGGGCTGACCCGCAGGCGCGCACCGCAGGCCAGGCAAGGGCAGCTGCCTGCGGGCTCTGGAGCTGAGGGAGCCCACATTGGGGGGGGGGGGGGGGGGGGGGGCGGGGCGGAGGGTGGCGCCAGGGGACGCGGAGGGAAAAGATGAATGCTAACACTTTTTTGTTGTTGTTAATTCTCACCCAAGGATATTTTTCCATTGGTTTTTAGAGAGAGTGGAAGCAAGTGGGGGAGGGGGGGGAGACAAAGAGAGAGATTATCAATCAGCTGCCTCCTGCATGCACCCCAACCAGGGCCAGCGTTGGAGCCTGCAACCAAGGTACCTGCCCTTGACCATAATCAAACCTAGGACCCTTTAGTCCACGGGACCATGCTCTGTCCGCTCTGTCTGCTGGCCAGTGCTCTAACCACTGAGCAAACTGGCTAGGGCTAAATTTTAACACTTTGATATTTTGATTTATATTTAGACACATGTGTCATTTCCTTTTGTACACTTGCCCAGGCCACACACACATCCTGCCCCGGAGCCTGGCTGAGATACTATTGCAGGAAGGTGCTGGCGGCCTGCTCGCTGAGGGGGGTCTGCAGGCCATTGCAGCTCCTGGATTCTCAGTCTGTGGCCCCAGGCGCACCTCTCCCTCCTGGGCTGACCTTCACCCTCTCCCCCCCCGGGCGGCCTCGCACGCAGGAGCCACGGGCCGGCATCCTTGCTGCCGCTTTATTTTTACACAGGCTCATGTTTCTCAGCGCAGACGCTGAGGTGAGACAGGAGCTGAGCCAAAGGGAAGGACAGCGGCCTGCCCTGCGAGGTAGGGAGAGGGGCCAGAGCTCCCTGCGTCTCTGGACTGGCTGCCTCCTGCACGTGCCCCTGTCTCCCTACACCCCAGGTCTGTGCCCTTGACTAGCAGTCGGAACTGACCAGACCCTTCGGGCAACAGGCTGGCGCTCTAACCGCTGAGCTAACTGGCCAGAGCCTCCTTGGCCACCTTTAGATCCTGGGGCAGGATCTGCCCCCACCGCCCTGCTGCCTCACCGCTCACCAGTGCTCAGGGCCACTTCTCGGGAAGCCCACAGGCCTCTCAGAGGCAGGACACCCCACTGTCCACTGCTCCCCAGCCTCAGGGCATCAGGGCACCCCGGTGGGGAGACACTGGGAAATGCATTAGCAGCTGGAGAGTTTTTATTTACTTGTTTGTTCTTTTAATCTTTTCTGTTGAAAGTATCACACAGAACCTCCTTTCCCCTCCCCCCCCCATTAGCCTCTTCCCGCCGCTCCCATCCCCCCACCCCCCCCACCCCCATTGTCTGTCCACGGGCCATGCATCTGTGCACACAGGCTCATTGGTTGATCTCTTCCCCCTCCCCCTCCCCTGCTTCCCTCTGAGGTCCGACATCTGTTCACGCATCTGTCTCTGGTCTGTTCTTGCCATCAGTTTGTGTTGGTCATTATAGCCCACGTGAGTGACATCGTGTGGTACTTGTCTTCCTCCGACTGGCTTCTTTCCCTCAGCATGATGCTCTCCAGGCGCCAGGCTGGTGCAGATGGTAAGCGTTCTGTCTTTTTCATTGCCACGTAGTGTGCCATGGTGTGGGTGGACCACAGCTTTCTGACCCGCTCGTCCGCTCATGGGCACGTGGGCTGTTTCCAGATCTCAGCTAGCAGCTAGAGAATTTTACATTTATAGAGCACTCTCCTCAAAATTCCTCAAAGCACCTGTCCAGTGGGCAAGCTTGGAGGCTCCTCCTGAGCGTGCCAGGGGGCGGGGTGCCAGGGAGGGGGTGCCAGGGAGGGGGTGTCAAGGGAGAGGGTACCAGAGGAGGGGGTGTCAAGGGAGGGGGTGCCAGGGACGGGGTGTCAAGGGAGAGAGTACCAGAGGAGGGGGTGCCAGGGGAGGGGGTGCCAGGGGAGGCAGTGCCAGGGAGGGGGTGCCAGGGAGGGGGTGCCAGAGGAGGGGGTGTCAAGGGAGAGGGTACCAGAGGAGGGGGTGTCAAGGGAGGGGGTGCCAGGGAGGGGGTGTCAAGGGAGAGGGTACCAGGGGAGGGGGTGCCAGGGAGGGGGTGCCAGGGGAGGCGGTGCCAGGGAGGGGGTGCCGGGGAGGGGGTGCCAGGGAGGGGGTGCCAGGGAGGGGGTGCCAGGGAGGGGGTGCCAGGGGAGGGGGTGCCAGGGAGGGGGTGCCAGGGGAGGGGGTGCCAGGGAGGGGGTGCCAGGGGAGGCGGTGCCAGGAGGGGGTGCCGGGGAGGGGGTGCCAGGGGAGGCGGTGCCAGGGAGGGGGTAACAGGGAGGGGGTGCCAGGAGAGGGGGTGTCAAGGGAGAGGGTACCAGAGGAGGGGGTGTCAAGGGAGGGGTGCCAGGGAGGGTGTCAAGGGAGAGGGTACCAGAGGAGGGGGTGCCAGGGAGGGGGTGCCAGAGGAGGGGATGCCAGGGGAGGGGGTGCCAGGGGAGGGGGTGCCAGGGAGGGGTTGTCAAGGGAGAGGGTACCAGAGGAGGGGGTGCCAGGGAGGGGGTGCCAGGGGAGGCGGTGCCAGGGAGGGGGTGCCAGGGAGGGGTGCTTTAGGAAACTCTCCTTGAGGAGCCCTCCCAGAGTCGGGCGGGAGGAGTGTGGGCCCTGCCCCTTTCCCTTCGGAAGCCCCTGTGGGTGGGAAGGTGACTTGGACCAGCCCAGCCGCCCAGGAGGAGCCTGGTGCTCCGCGATGGGCTAGTGTGCCCAGGCCCTCGGGGACTGGCTCAGAGATCCTGAGAAGCAAGTTTCCAAGGAGCTGTCAGGGCTCGGCTGGAGGAGGAGGGCCTAGATTCAGGGAAGGAGGTTTTCTGGGGTCGGGGGTCATGGGGCTCTTTGCAGCAAGTAGGCCAGCAGTCCTGTCAGACCCGGTGGCCGCTCCTGCCCTCCAGGGAGCCGGCTGGAGAGGGGGGAGCGGGAAGGTCCCTGTGGTGGGCAGTGGGGCCAAGCTCAGTGCCTGGCCTGGGTGGGGGGTGCTCCCCGGGAAGGCTCTCACCCTGGGGAGATCCCACCTTCTCCCTGGGGGGGGGGGGGGGTGGAAGGTCCATCCCTGGGCAGTTCCCAGAAAGACCGCCAGCCCCCTCCGGGAGGAGGGCAGGCAGCCTGGGAGGTTCCGGAGCTATTTTAGGAGGAGTCCCTCCTGAGTGCGGAGAGCCTGGCCGGAGCCTCCTCCCCGCGGCTCCCCCAGTGCCCTTGCGCTTGCCTGCCTCGCCCCTCCTCCCCACAGCCTGTACGCTCCCATCCCCAGTGGCCATGGCAGGTACAGCGCTGAGTCAGCCCCGGAGGCAGAGCACAGGCCCCTCCCCCATCCCTCAGCCGGGGGTGTGCGGCGCGCTCCCCTCTGCACCCTCCGCTGGAAGCAGGTCCCGGCTCAGGACGCGGGCTGAGGCTCTCTGCGTGCATCCGCTGGGTCCGTGCCCCCCGTCCT